GCCCCTTCCGGCGTGGCTCGGCCGCTGGAGCACGAGCCGAAGAGGCGTATCGCGCTGAGCGCTGGGCTCCCCGAGCTGTGGCGCGCCACGGCTTCTGCCCGTCTCAGGACCAGCGCCTCTCCCATGTTGATCTCCCCCCTCATGCCGCCTCCCTGTCCTCCTCCTCCGCCTCCTCCGCCTCCTCCTCCTCCTCCTCCGCCTCCTCCTCCTGCTCCTCCGCCTCCTCCTCCTCCTCCTCCTCCGCCTCCCCCTCCTCCATCGTCCCCCTCCTCCTCCCGTGGGACTTCTCAAAAGCCCTTGTGCCCTCTGAGGAATGTGTTCTGCGTCTTCGGGGCAGGCTTAGAAGACTTCTGAGAAGGCCAAAGGACTTATGAACCTTCTGAGAAGGCCCTCCCTCTCTCATTCCCCACCTGGCTGCTACCTAGAATTCCTGGCGTCTCGGATAAACATTATCCCAGTGCGACCCTACCTAGGAGTTGGAAACCCTAGGAAAGCAGCATTAGTAGTAACAGTAACGCTAAACTAAAGCTAAGCTAAAGCTAAGCTAAAGCTAAGCTAAAGCTAAGCTAAAGCTAAGCTAAAGCTAAGCTAAATCTAATGTCAAGATAAGCTAAAGCTAAGATAAAGCTAAGCTAAAGCTAAGCTAAAGCTAAGCTAAAACTAAGCTAAAGCTGAGCAACAGCTAAGCTAAAGCTAAGCTACAGCTGAGCTAAAGATAAACTAAAGCTAAGCTAAAGTTAAGCTAAAGCTAATCTAAATCTAAGCTAAAGCTAAGCTAAAGCTATGCTACACCTAAGCTCAAGCTAAGCTAAAGCTAAGCTAAAGCTAAGCTAAAGCTGAGCTAAACGCTAAGCGACAAGCTAAGCGAAACGCTAAGCTAAAGCTAAGCTAAAGCTAAGCTAAAGCTAAGCCACAGCTAAGCTAAAGCTAAAGCTCAGCTAAAGCTAAAGCTAACGCTAAGCTAAGGAAAATAGCATTAGTAGGAACAGTAACGCTAAGCTAAAGCTAAGCTAAAGCTAAGCTAAAGCTACGCCACAGCTAAGCTAAAGCTAAGCTAAATCTAAGCTAAAGCTAAGCTAAAGCTAAGCCACAGCTAAGCTAAAGCTAAGCTAGAGCTAAGCTAAAGTTAAACTAAAGCTAAGCTAAATCGAAGCTAAAGCTAAGCTGAAGCTGAGCAACAGCTAAGCTAAAGCTAAGCTAAAGCTAAGCTAAAGCTACGCCACAGCTAAGCTAAAGCTAAGCTAAAGCTAAGCTAAAGTTAAGCTACATCTAAACTCAAGCTAAGCTAAAGCTAAGCTGAAGCTAAAGCTAAGCTAAAGCTAAGCTAAAGCTAAGCGAAACGCTAAACTAAAGCTAAGCTACAGCTAAGCTAAAGCTATGCTAAAGCTAAGCTAAAGCTAAAGCTAAAGCTAAAGCTAAAGCTAAGCTAAGGAAAGCAGCATTAGAGTAACAGTAACGCTGAACTAAAGCTAGGCTAAAGCTAAGCTAAAGCTCAGCTATAAGCCACAGCTAAGCTGAAGCTAAGCTAAAGCTAAGCTAAAGCTAAGCCACAGCTAAGCTGAAGCTAAGCTAAAGCTAAGCTAAAGCTAAGCTAAAGCTAAGCTAAAGCTAAGCTAAAGCTACGCCACAGCTAAGCTAAAGCTAAGCTAAAGCTAAGCTAAAGCTAAGCTAAAGCTAAGCTAAAGCTAAGCTACATCTAAGCTCAAGCTAAGCTAAACGCTAAGCGAAAAGCTGAGCGAAACGCTAAGCTAAAGCTAAGCTAAATCTAAGCTAAAGCTAAGCTAAACGCTAAGCGAAAAGCTGAGCGAAACGCTACGCTAAAGCTAAGCTACAGCTAAGCTAAAGCTAAGCTAAAGCTAAGCTAAAGCTGAGCTAAAGCTAAAGCTAAAGCTAAAGCTAAACCTCCCAGGGGACTGGGGGGAACCGCTCCCAGGGGACTGGGGGAACCGCCCGGGGCGCTTTCCACTGCCCGGCCCCTTTAAGCTAGAGAGTAAGAACCCTTCTAGGCAGAGCCTAGGTAGGGAACAACTGGGACGGGCATTCTTCCTTGTGTTCGGCGCCTCGGGGTCCTGGTCAGGCCTCGGGGCCGTGAAAGAACGACTCTGAGGAATTGGTCGGGGGATCGGAGGCGCGTGTCTCCAAATGACTTGCCCACAGGCGCGCCGCCGCCAGACGGCCCAGAGAAACTTCTGGAGCGCAGCCTTCTCGTGGCTTCGCGCTCCTCTGGGTTGGGCCTCTAACAGGGGGCCAGCCCCTGCCCCGCCCGCCCGCGCTGGCCGCTCGTCGTGCCTCTCTCGCTCTCTCTCTCTCTCTCTCTGTCTCTCTCTCTCTCTCTCTTTCTTTCTTTCTCTCTCTCTCTCTCTCTCTCTCTTACTCTCTCTCTCTCTCTTACTCTCTCTCTCTCTCTCTCTGTTGTTGTTTCTCTCTCTCTCTCTCTCTTTCTCTGTCTCTCTCTCTCTTTCTCTATCTATCCCTATATACAGATGTATTAGTCTCTCTCCCCCTCTTCATACGTTTTCCACTCTATTCCTCGCTCGTTATGTCTGTTTGGTCTCTCTATCGTTATTCATTTATTGATATGTATATGTTGATTGTTTGTTTGTCTCTCTCTCTCTCATGTGTAAATAAGTATTTATCCCTCTAGTTACCTCTGTCTCCCCCCTCTCGCTCGAACTGTATGTGTTTATGGATAGATGTCGCTCTGTCATCATGTCTTCATGTTTCTCTCTCTCTCTCTCTCTCTATGCTTCAATATCCGCAACCTCTGTGTATGTAGAAGTATGCACGTGTGTATCCCTCTCTCTCTCTCTTTCTCGCCCCCTGCTGTTGTTGTTTCTCTCTCTCTATTTATGTTTGTTCTCTCACTCTCTCTCTCTCTCTTGCAGCTTCTCTTAGACTTCGATGCTCGTTCTGGGGGCCTTCCTAAAGGCACTCGCTCCACGTTTGTGTTGTTCTCTCTCTCTCTCTCTCTTTCCCTCTCCCTCTCCCCGCCTCTCTCTCTTTCTCTCTCTCTCTCTCTCTCTCCCTCTCTCTCACAAGGCAGAATCACCACTCGCGCAATAAGCACCTCGACAAGCGCGCGAGGCAACTTAGTGAACGCACCTACCGCAGGAATCAGACAAGACTGGGGCTGTTTCGTTCACGCGCCAGGCCGCTTGGTAAACGCCAACGATGGGGAGTCGGGGTGCGCTTCCCTCCCTGTCTCTCCCCTCCAACCCCCGCTTCGGGGAGCTTCTGACCCGGGTCAATCCAGACCCGGGTCAGCAGAAACAAAATTATCCCAGTGCGACCCTACCTAGGAGTTGGAGCATCTAGGAAAGCAACATCTACATCTACACCGACAGCTACATCTACACCGACAGCTACATTAACATCAGCACTGCAGGCCCGGCGTTGCGTTGTTTGTGCGTTGCTTTGCTGTTGCTGCTGTTGCTTTGCCTTTGCGTTGCTGCTATGCTATGCTATGCTATGCTGCGCTATGTTGGGTTATGCTATGGTATGCTTTGCTATGCTGCGCTATGCTGCGCTATGCTATGCTATGCTACGCTAGGGTACGCTCGGGTGCGCTGTGTTTTGTTAGGCTATGATATGCTATGCTATGCTGCGCATGCTATGCTATGTTATGCTATGCTACGCTATGCTATGCTATGCTGCGCTATGCTATGCTATGCTATGCTATACTGAGCTATGCTATGATATGTTAAGCGATGCTATGCTTGGCTATGCTATGGTGTGCTATGCTGTGCTAATGTTGCGCTGCGCTATGCTGCGCTGCGCTAAGCTAAGGTAAGCTAAGCTAAGCTATGCCAAGCTAAGCTAAGTTAAGCTAGGTTAGGTT